GTTGTAGTACACACATTTATTTATTTATTTATTTATTTATTTATTTATTTATTTATTTATCAATTGAAACAACTCTTAACGACCTGCATGACCAGCAGGTAATTTCCCAGACAAAATGGCGAGTAAAATAAAAGCTTATTGTGTTCAGTGTCAGAGGAACATGGAGCTGCAGGAGGATGTGAAGTGTGTCTGTCACACAGGAGAGGAGGATGCTGCAACGACCCACCGCTGTGCAGACCCTGTGAGCAGCRACACGAAGAGAAAACCTCACCCCACTAACCGCTGTAGGCCTGTTGTTTTAGTGTTAAAGACATCTTCAAATCATTTCAATCTACAAGTCAGAACAAATAAATATAAAGGACCTACCGTTCGTCTGATCTGATGTAAGCAGCGCTGTGTGGCGGCCTCTGGTGGCCCACAGAAGAACTGCAGCTGAAGGCGGCCTCTGGTGGCCCACAGAGGAACTGCAGCTGAAGGCGGCCTCTGGTGGCCCACAGAGGAACTGCAGCTGAAGGAGGCCTCTGTTGGCCCACAGAGGAACTGCAGCTCCGGCTGAAGGCGGCCTCTGGTGGGTCACAGAGGAACTGCAGCTGAAGGAGGCCTCTGGTGGCCCACAGAGGTACTGCAGCTGAAGGAGGCCTCTGGTGGCCCACAGAGGAACTGCAGCTGAAGGAGGCCTCTGGTGGCTCACAGAGGAACTACAGCTCCAGCTGAAGGAGGCAGAAGGACCGCCTCTTGGTGCTGCAGTTACAAAGCTGTGCTCCTGACAGACACACACAGACACACACAGACACACTCAGACACACACAGACTCAATCAGGCTCAGTTCGGCTGCAAAACACAGAATCCGCACAAAATTACCGGAAGGAAGAGATTTCTACTGATTAAAGGTGAGGATTTATTATTTTTAACATTTAAATGACACAATACCCACAATGCCCTGCTGTTTATATTTGTTTACATACCGCTACTTTTATGCTCTCTACGTAATTAATTATTATTTTAAACATGAAAACCAGTTTCATGTTGCATTTGTCCTCAGGTTGTTTGGACAGGGATTTGTAGGCAAAGCTTGACTCGTCAGTCCAAAGACATGAAGAGTCAGTTTGTGTTGTTCTACTGCAGAGGCACAGATTATAATCCTGGATTTTCACTAATCTGTCAGCTTATTACCACCTGCATGCTCAGGCTGCAGCAGCCACAAATAAACACTGCATCCTCACAGGACTGTCACTTCCTGCTGCTGCAGACAGTCCAAACCATTTACTCCTCTCATGTTATATTATACGTTATTGTTTTAGATAAATAAGTGTTTCAGCTCATTTTATAACATGAAGAGTCATTAATCCTCTGTGATCTGTGGTCTGATGATCTGTGATCTGTGATCTGTGATCTGATGATCTGTGATCTGATGATCTGTGATCTGATGATCTGATGATCTGTGATCTGTGATCTGTGATCTGATGATCTGTGATCTGATGATCTGTGATCTGATGATCTGATGATCTGTGATCTGTGATCTGATGATCTGTGATCTGATGATCTGATGATCTGATGATCTGTGATCTGTGATCTGTGATCTGTGATCTGTGATCTGTGATCTGATGATCTGTGATCTGATGATCTGTGATCTGATGATCTGTGATCTGATGATCTGATGATCTGTGATCTGATGATCTGTGATCTGATGATCTGTGATCTGTGATCTGATGATCTGTGATCTGATGATCTGTGATCTGTGATCTGATGATCTGATGATCTGATGATCTGATGATCTGTGATCTGTGATCTGTGAGATGTTTCCTTCAGGAGCAGGAATCAGTCCCAGCAGCTCTGATCTGAGCTGCAGAGAGAACAGCAGATCTCCTCAGTGCTGAATCAACACACACACACACACACACACACACACACACACA